TCTTATTTCTTGGAAAACAAAGAAGCAAACCACCGTGTCAAGGTCCACAGCAGAGGCAGAATATAGGAGCTTAGCTGCAACGGTTTGTGAGCTTCGATGGATCAGTTATATCTTAGCAGATTTTCTGATCGATCTACCTCTTCCGATTCCATTGTGGTGTGATAATAAGTCCGCACTTCACATTACAGCAAATCCAGTTTTTCATGAGCGTACCAAGCACCTCGAAATTGATTGTCATATTGTGCGGGATAAGTACAAGGAAGGTTTTGTTCTTCCACAGTTCATTCCTTCTTCCCTCCAACTTGCTGATGTTTTCACGAAGGCTCTTCCACCTCCTCAATTTCATCTTCTTACTAGCAAGCTGGGACTTGAGGATCTTCATCGTCTGCCAGCTTGAGGGGGGGATGAAGAATTTATATAAATATTAGTTTCCTTTCTTTTATCTTTTCTTTTCCCTCCTTTTTATTCACGTGTATAGATACTATGATGAGAGAGTGATAGTACATAATAAGAAAAATGAAGAGGTTAAAGAGGGGTTTTATGATGATTTTCCCTGTCATTAATTGTGTGACCACACAATAGTTAAACATGCCTCTGGTTTGTCGCCAAGATAATAATCATGTATAAATCTGTTCTTGGAGTGGCATTTCATAATTTTGTGTCAGTACCCTGCACCAAGATGGTTGGATGGTATAAAGTAGTTTGTCATATCTAAATTGGTGTATATTTCCACGCGCGCACACAATTTGCTGACCATATTCAAATTTGAAGCTGGAAAAGCAAACTAATCATCTTAAAGATCTTAATTTTTACAGGTTGATCGAAGGTATAGACAGTATTATCATCAGAAGCAAATAGTGGTGTCTTCGTTTGACGTGGTAGCAGGATCTGGTTCAGCCAAACCATACACGGCAATCGCCATCAAGACAATATCCCGTCACTTTAGTTTCCTGCATGATGCAATAAATGGCAAGATTTGCGTGGCTCGAAAAAGCCTTCGGGAGGAAGATTGTTTGGCAAATGCTGAAGGGGTTGGAATATCTCGACTGCGATATGTGGATCAGCAACTCAGACAACAAGAGCCCTTCAGCAACTCGGAAAGATGCAACCACATGCTTGGAGGCCACAGAGGGGACTCCCAAAAGCTCTGTTTCAATTTTGCACGCTTGGCTTTTCGAGCACTTTGTTCATCCGTTCGTTCTGCAAAACTTTATTTTGTTTTCTAAACAGTTTTCTTTTTCTCTCTTTATCGTTACTATTGAGTTTGTTTATTTACATTTGATTGATTATTTTTTCTTTCTCCAGGTACCTTAAAGATTATGACAAGACCATGCTAGAAAGGCAGCCTAGCTTGACAAGAGGTCAGGTGAAACAATCTCCATCTCATACAATTGTTTCTCTTGTTAAAAGACTAATTGTCATCTGTCTTTATAGTGAATAATTGATGCTTCTGTAGTTTTGTTGATTGATCTATGCACTGGATCAGGTCTTAAAACTGGTTCATTAATGCAAGAGTTCGGTTTTGGAAGCCAATGGTCGAAGAAATGTACAATAAAGAGGTTGGTGATGTCGAGATAGACTTTAATTTTTTGTCTGAATATGCACAAAAGGCTTCAAAAACTGATGCAAAGGCATCACAAGATTTGTGCCACGCCACAACTTCCAAAGAAACCGAGCATTGTAGAACTGGGCAACCCTTTGAGCCAAATTCTGATATTGTCCATGGCGTAGAAATGGTGGGATCAGATACCAATCCCACATTCCAGAATCTGATGCGTGCAGAACCTGAAAATGGTTATGGGATAGGACAATGTAGGTTCAACCAAGGGTCTCCTCCATGGATGACCAGAGCCTTTTCCCAGATACGATTATAGAGTCAAATCAAGCTAGAAAAATTTGGAAGTGGAAACGGAGTCACTCTCGTTAGGATTGCAGGGAGGTAGCCTACCTGTAGCTGATGAAACTAGTCCTAATTTTGTCACCATGAGAGGCAATGATGTGTATACTGTAACTGCTGCTTCAACAGGAATTCAGACACCAGGATTTGACTACGGATTCTGGAAATCTGCAGCGTGAATTTGTCCCATCGCATATTTTACGTGATTTTGTAGCAGGAGAAAAGGCTGCTGATTTCGTTGGACAGAAGAAGCATTTTTCCCCCTTTTGAACTATTAATCGAAGATAAAGAATCTGTGGTTTCTTTGATACTATGAAATTTATGAAATACTGTTGTAATATAGCAAAAGATTGGCTGGGAAGGCAGCATGGTGTACACAAACATAGTTTGACTGGTGGAGACAATTAAATTGAACAAATTTGTAATGGAAGTTCGCAATATATTGAAAGGAGTCTTGCCACACCATAAAGGGTACAATTGGAGGAGAAGTTTCAAATTTGCATTCATCTAAATGTGTCATGCCACTCGAGCTTGAGCAGCCGGGCCCTTGAAAAGCATGAACCAACCGATCACGGCCAAGCCATGGGCCGGCCTAGCCTGGCTCTACAGCTGATCCATGTCCTACTCAAATAACACAGAGAAAATGGGCAATGTTGGGTGTTGTGCAAGTGTATGGCATCATATACAAATAATGAAGTAGCGATTCTTCTACCTCTTTCTTGGAAATTTAACACCCATTCTGAAATTTCCTAGAGAAAAACTTCAATCAAAAGTTTTGGTATTCAAAAGAGTCATTGAAAGTTCTGTATTCTGACTTGACTCAATTCGACAAAGCTTTATCCATACTTGTACAAGGTTGGTTATTGTATTTAAACTAATTGCCCTTAATTTTCATGACAGATAAATGGACGCAATGGTTTTATTGTGATCACTTTTTCTCCAAACAAATCTTACAAAATCACTATGGACTGAAACTTGGACTCGACGGTACGTTAAATCTTTATCTATTGTACAGTCCAACAGAAACTAATACTACTTACCAAATATGCACGTGATGTCACTTAAATCTTGCTCCCAGCAATGAAATGTTACTAAACTTCTTCCTCAAGTTTTGAAGATTTTGGGAGTCCAATTCACTATCGTCCAGTTGAAGATTTGGCCTTTGCAGTTGCCCTGTTCATTCAGAAAGGAGGCTCTTTTGTAACTAACTACATGGTTGACAATTGACGCCATTCCTCCAATTTTCTTTCCCAATTTACTACAGTTGTCAACTTACATGCTGGAGTTGCCGTTGGATTTCCAGTTAGTTCCCTGACCTCTACTTTCATTGTTTTTTTCACCATTTAGCTTCATTGGCAAAATTCACATGTAAATTAAATATTTTCTTTTATTTTGTTCTTGAAGAATGATTGCCGTAGCTTTGGAAGATACTGGACTGCTATACGGGAACATATCGACAAGGGACTTGAACCCGGGTCTCTCAGGTGAGAGCCGAGTATCATAACGAACTAGACTACAACGGATTGTTCGTACATGTTATCAATTTAGATTATTTAAATTTTGAAACTATATTGATCCCATAAAATCCGACACAATTTAGTAGAAAACAAAATGGCTACATGACTTTTTACATGTCATTCAGTGCAAAAATCATACAATGGATTTGTTTCATTTGGATTCGCCTTTTTCCCATCCAAAGAAAAAAGGGATATAAAGAGCCCACCAGAGCCAGAGGTCTACACAAATGTGATCTATTCCTATACCCTTGGGTTCAGTATACGGTCAAACAAATTACAAAGAGTCGAAAATCCGGTCCTTCATAGGATTGTTCAACTTGTCTTTGCTCTTTTCCATACAATGACGGTTCCACCAAAATCTGAAGAAGCCAACAAATTCTCTCCATGGTTCCAAGCAATGCCTATAACCGGGTAGCCATGACCCTGCAGTAATAACCAATCGTTGAAGTGCGTGAAGCCAGTCGAAGAAATCTTTGGAAAAATTGAGATTTACCTGTAGTTTGTTTACACACGTGTGCTTTGGTCGAGTTAAATCGTAGAAATAGACATTAGCATCTTCACTCCCGGCAACTTCATTCATGCACAGAGCAGAGTGTCAGCAATGAGAATGAGATTGTCTTGTTGCATATATTACGAATAAACTTGTAAAACCATTAAGATTGTAGCAGAAAGAATGCAATTTCTGCCTAAAGGATTTGGCAGGCAAGATGACAAATATCATGTTTGTCTAAGCTAATAAATAATTAACTTATTTTGATGTAAGAGGTACTCCCGAAAAATAAGTTAACTTTTTAAACTCAAAAGTAAGAAAAAAATAACATATCCAGACAAAAACAAAAAATTACTTAAAATGTAACAATGGCCATAAGAGCATCCAAAGAATGCCTTTTTACTGACATGGATATAAAATTTGCAAAAGCATTATCTTTTAAATAGGTATAAACATAGAGAAAGGATTATCTTATAAATTGCATGTCTACCTATAAATTCTCCCTTCTCAAGAGAAAGTAGAGGACAGAAAGAGGCGCGAATGCTATGCAGTCGTGGAGCCAATTTAAGTGTACAACGAACAGTCAAATAACCTTGTATCTCCAAAGAGACGCTACACCACACCAAAATGCCACATATCGTATTAGAAAACTGAAGTTATATCTGAAAGTAAAAGGGCAAATGTTACAGAACAACCTGAAGAAAGACAAACTTCCATCTTGAGAAAAAGTTAGCAACACAGGACCTCGGGCAAGCAAAGAAAAGGTTCTGTACTGCACAGTAGTGACTGGAGAATTTTGCTTGCTGCTACTTTTATTACGATGAGACCTAGATAAGGCACCTGTACGTGAGTCCATCCTAACTGTGTATACATATCCCTGCAATCATTTGTAAAGAAAATCTCTTATTCTTTGGAAAAAAAAATAAAAAAAATTAAAGTTTATCAGTTGGCAGAGGTGGAGGAGTCCTTGAGCAGCCAACGCACCTTAGCATCACCGCAGAAAATAATCTGACCAGTGTGGTCATGGTCCATAGCAGTAACCTCACTGTCAAAGGTCGCTTTACTGATTGTTCTTCCAGTGCTGAAATTGAACACCTAGAATGCCAGTTATAAACCAGTGCACAACGTGAGAGAATGTTAAGTGTCTTATGTAAGGTAAAAGCATTAAACATCGCATTTGATTTATCTGTAGGAATAAAGTCTCCAAAATGCAGCATGATGTCAAAGACACGCAACCATCGCAAGACAAAATAATAAATTGACACTGATAGTTTGGATAGTACCCAAGAAAAGGAAAAGGAGGCACTACTAAAATGGGCAAAAAAAGGTCATGTTCTCTTTTGTGCCTGGGATAACACACAAACAAGCACACATGCCGACATCCTCAACCAAAGAAAATAGAAGAAACTGATATAAGGAAATGGATTCAATGTTTTCATGAAACACCCACCCAGAATAATTGTGGTTTCAAAAAATAACATTGCTAGCAGCAAGAGTACACTTAGTAAAAGTTTCACATGATTTACCATTATCTCTTTGTTTGCATTGCCAACTGAAAGAAAATTATTGTTCACCTGCACCAGTAAAATAGGCAAAAATGACACTATAACAGCAAACTTGAAACGTAATATAACTATATTCTTTCAAGAGCAGAAACGACGAAAATAGCAAGAAATTTCACGTACTTACCGGATGGAAACGAATACAAAGTTCTGGTGAAACTCCATAAATCACCCTCATACAAAGGCCTTTCGAGATATCCCATACTCTCACAGTTTTGTCGATTGAGGAAGATGTGATGTACTGATTGTTAGCTGAGAAGTCAAAATCTGAGGAGAGATATTTTAGAACTCAATGTAGACAGAGTACTAACGGTGTGAATCATGAACTGTGCATGTGCGAGGATGTATTAAAATCAAGATATATCCCACGAGCTCCCAGGTTGTCCAATATTTCACTCTGAAGATTTTAGGGGGAACGTTTTAAAGTGTGACTGAGGTCTAGGGAGGATTACAATTGACAGAGGCAGATTGCCATTTTAAAATGAGTTCAGTCAAAACATGTACTACATCAAGACGAATGGAGCCATCTTGGGGTCTCCTAAAGGGATGGAACGTTGATAGTTGATCAGCGAAAAGTTACTACAGAAAGAACACCAGTTAATCCTACCTGTGACATCTTTTGTATGTCCTGCTAACCGCTTGAGAACTGTAGGTGACGTAGAAACAGTGCATACAGTCAAGCTTCCATCTGATGCTCCATAGGCAAGTAGATCAGAACTCATGTGCCCAAACTTTATGACCGTAACTACAAATAATGACTGTTGGTTATTTCAGAATGTAAAATTCCAATAACACCAAAATAGGCAACAAAAAAATACAATCTGGTCTTGTTCTCTCAAAGACATACCCATGGCCTTGCACTGGTCAAAAATGCAGTGCATTCCTACAAAGGAATATGCAGGTTCGCCCCTTCTACGTGGGAGCTCTGTATCACTCGCGTTTGAACTGACACTTGTGCGGAAACTCAATGCTCGATCACCACTTCGTAAATCCTGGAAGAAAGGAAGAATAAGACATATTAAAGGACATGGCTAAACATTCCTTATTCTCATTATGACACGTGAGGCTATAATTCACAACAAATCAAAAATATATATATATAATGCAATCTGGATTGTAGGATATCCATATATCAATTTCATATAATGCTTATCAATTGATCACAATAAGCATTTGCTCTCTATAACTACTTTTGTGAAAAACGTACTAGACTCAATGTGACATTCAGTTTAGTTTTAACCTGGTAGATTCTTGGTTCAAATGATTAAAGGGAAAACTGTCTGAGAATACATATATACATGCAGACCACATGTAGTGCGTGTACGTACAACTGACAGCCACAGGACCATAAATGCCACGGATTCAACTTTCCTTATGGGGAACATTAGAGAGAACTAAAAATATCATAAGAAGCCTATACGGCAGTCTTATCCAAAAACCATAAATGACTTGTCCCCACCAATGATCATGAAGCTTAAATGAATCATAGGCTATAAGTCTGTTTAAAGTAAAGGGTACCTTCTTCTCTACAGGTCAAAAGAGGCGACCTTTTCCAAATGTCTTTCAAGTACTAATTATCTATTTGCTTAACTAAATCTAATGAAGACGACTGCCAAGCAACTCAAGTTATCTTATTTAACATGTATCAATTCTAAGCTTGGGGCACAAGTATAAAGAGCACAGTGCCTTGTGAATTGCTAACAACCTATTACTTTTTCCTACTCACGATCATTATAAGACAGAAACTTGGATATAAACAACAAACATAATGGAGAAATGGCACATACCCTGCTTGTACCCCAGCTGTCCACCTCAAACAAATGGGAGGGTGGACTTGTAGATGGCATCCATCGTCCACTGATGCATCAACCAGTAAATTACCCTGATGTGAGAATCGTATGGAACACTAATTTAAACAATAATCTCATACTGTAAAGCTGAATTTCTCTCAACTTTAAAAACTTGAAAATGAAGATTTCAGAACAATGACAAACAATAATTCATTGTACTCATTGCAATCGAATTAGTACTTCAGTCACCTCTGTCCTGGAGTACTAGGGTAACTCGGTGTTTGTAAACCTTCCCAATTTCTCGGCCTATTAATGTAATTACGAAAGGCAACGTAACCTTTTCCATTACATCTCCAATCCTACAAGAAGAAACCACACGAAATCAACATTTTCATATGATGAACTCCTTACCGTGTTGATTTATAATATGTGCTAAATTTATTTAACAAAATTATAAGAACTGAAAATTTGCTTCCGATACATAAAATAATTATTCCCCTTACTAATTGCTAGAAATGTTAATTTTGGGAAATTAAACAGAGAGTGCATTGACGTTCTATTCACTGATGAAGATTATTTAAATTATAGAACACAAATCATGAGAGCACGTTTGAGTCTACGTTGGTATAAAGAAAATGCATCTAATCATTTAAATCAAAGATGAACGAAGACAATGCTAAGTCACGTTACTATCTTCAGAGTACTCAATAGTCACGCTCATAATTGGCACTGAATTACGCACTGATACTAAAACGCGTATAAATATAGCAAATAATATGGAATGATGATGCCTTGTGTATTTTCGCAGTCACATCCCTTAACACAGATCAACGATCAGGAGTCCAAATTACCCAATGCATATATAACTAAGTAATACTTATAATATACACGCAAATGCATATACAAATATAAATAGACAAAATTGAGGAGTACCTTGCGGCGTAAGACACCAGACTGAGCTTTACGAAAGAGGAGGAGGCGGCGGATTCCAATGTAATTGGGATCAGAATCAGAATCTGAAGGCGAAGGCTGAAGCATACAACTGAAGAATTCTGGATCAAATGTCAGGTCCTCTTTCTTCTTTTCACCATTTTCCAACTTCGAATCGTCATTTTCAGGCGAACTCTTTTCGACCGCTTGTTCCGCCATGCTATTGTTGACTTTTCATCGAATTATTCCACAAAAAGCGACAACTTTCGGAGATCGGAGATGCTAGCGTTTTCGATTTCGCTTTCTAAATAAAAAAAAATCTGTGAAGATCTAGATGGGTTGTGGAAACGGCTTGTTGAATTTGCAAGAAAAAGAATGTGGAAATTGGGGGTGTGCAATGGGTATTGAAAAGTTAAAAATAATTTAGGCTGTGTTGGATACACACAGTGGAGAAAAATGCATTTTAAGATGTACTTTTAGAAAAATACGTGGTTAAAAAATGGTTAAAAAATAAGGAAAATTTTTGGATTTGTGTATACTATTATTTTATTGATGAATGTGTGATTAAAAATGAATAGAAAAAGAATGTATTTTTCAAGAATGTGGATCAAACATATGCTTAAGAATTGTTTGAGCCTATTTTTATTGGGAAATACATTTTGAAATAATGGATTGATGTAGAATGTATAGTAAAAAATTAAGGAAAACTTTTAAATTTGCATATAATATTATTTGTATTAATCTATGTGCACATAGATTAATCCATAGAGATTGACATAATGTGAGTGAGATGGTGTCCACGCTACTGTAGCTTAAGTCCTCGTTTGATCCCATTATTTTGAAAATAAATTTTTTCTCACTTATTTTCGATCATGTATTTTTCAATAAAATAATATGGGTCATGCTCTGCGTACATATGTGTACACATAGAAGTTGACATAATGTGAGTGAAGTACAATTGTATTGAATTGAAATGAAATTGGAAATAGGAAATTGAAAGAACAATTCCAAGCATTCGAGAGGCTGGATCTCTCCCAATTGGACTTAACCAACTACTCAGTATTTTGGATAATTCACTCTTCTTACTCTTACTCTATTTATAGACACTTGTAACAGATTTTGCTCTCTAACAAACTAACCATTGAACCTTCTAGAATGACAAATGACGTGGCAGCACCATTACCCGCCGCCTCAAAATCACCTTGTTCTCAAGGTGGAAGTAGGGTTGAACTCCGAAATTCAGAATTGCATATAATCATTTCTTTGATAAGAGTTCCCACCAAGGCAAATGTTGAAATGAGATATTTCAATCCAAAAGCAGTTAAAAAGTTCCGGCGCTGACCACCTATACTTAGAATATTATCCATAAAAATTCCATACCCGGTCACTCCCCTCTGCGGGCTTTCCAAAAGATGAACCCGGCCAATCGGAATACAACGATGGATAGTACCACAATTGATCAGCATCGCGATCTCTTATTTTTGTGCAATCTGCCTTTTTTAGTCTTTTGCGCAATTTCAAACTTCGAATTAAGTATAAATCCCAATTTATCGCCAACCTCTTCACCATTGTCGTCGTTAAAATTTTCTTCTCTATCATCGGTAAGGATTTTGAGCCGATGACACGTCAGACCCACTTTTGCAGTCGAAGCATATTTTAGAGCGTTCGCTAGTGTTTTGATAGGCTTGGTACGCTGTCAGGGAAGAGAAATAATAAGGGCTGGGATGAATATTTGGGCTGAAAGTGTTGGAGATAACATTTCGGTTGTAAATATTGTTTTTAATTTCATATGGGCTAGCATCAGGTTAAGCCATTTTTAGAGGCTCTTTTTGGACCTCTATCATTTGGGCTAAATTCATATTTTGGCCCAAACATTGCTGCCACATTTTGACCTCAACCCCAACCCACGGTTGTAGTCCATAGTTAAAATTCCCCTCCAAAACCCATCTCGGATTTGCTCTGTCGGCATCTTCCTCTAGCTTGGGTGTAGTTTCACAATTGGTAAAATTCCCCTCCAACACCCCTTTTGAAGTCGTCTGTGCTGATACAATTTCAAATCTGTCCAGGCTTTGCATCTCCATCTTCCCTGCTTCCACATGGTGGTTCCAGTTGGGTGCATTTGTCCCGATACCATCAGACTAGAGTGGAGTTTCAGAATAAATGGCTGGTTCCGACAAAGTGAATGGGATCCCATTTTCCTCTATTTTCTGTCATGTTCCCATCATGACTCCTCCAAGACTGAATTCCTTTGATACCCCGATACTTATGCCTTGTTTGAGGTGTTCTACTAACCTCTCTATGCCCGGTAAGTACCGCATCTCGGATTTCAATTCCTTCATAGCTTCCTGCCGCTGATTTCTCTTCCCAACAGTCACTGTTCACGTGGGAGAGCTCTCGATCGTCTTCCACTCTTCTGCGTTCAATCCAGGTTTGAAGAGTTTTGGGACTGGAAGCTCAGTTTTTCCTTGTTTATCTTGGTGGTTCGAGCCACCATTATTTGCTCCACCCTTATCTAATTTTGGGAAAATTTCAGAAGTGCTAGTAAATTTCAGCTCCTTGATGAGGATATCCTCTTCCAATGATCTGTTCATTACTGCTTTAGGAAGGGTCACTGATGCCATAGATTTCTGAATCGCCTCCATTTTTCCCACCAAGTCTAATTGCCCCAATTTCATCGCTGCTTGACCCCTTTCTAGCTCCCATTTTTTTGATCATCAAGTCTAGCTCTTTCATTATTGCTGCCAGGTCCCTCTGAATATCAGGTTTTATTACCTCCCCCTTTGCTTCATGGAATCCTGAGAAGGTTGAAATATGTCAAGCATCAACCCTTTCAATTCTCTCCAAGTTTGCACAGGTTGTTATTGATCTACCTCATGAAACCAATCCTATGTTTGTCAACCAAAACAAGCTGTGGCAGCCCCTATTTTCTCCGCCTTCGATAACCGGTTTTTGGGAAAAATCTTCTCCACCTCGACACCCACCAATATGTATCTTCTCCATATAATATTGATATATCCAAATGTTCTTGTGCATCCAATCCAGAATCCCTTGCTGAAATTGGTTCCATCTACCCCAGAATTGGTGCACTGATACCATTTGATAAGGTTCAGTTGATTCAACAAGAACAAAATAAGAAAACAGGAATGAACAATTGTATTGAATTGAAATGAAACTGGAAACAGGAAATTGAAAGAAAAATTCCAAGCATTCGGGAGGCTGGATCTCTCTCAATTGGACTTAACCAACTACTCAGTATTTTGCATAATTCACTCCTCTTACTCTTATTCTATTTATAGACCCTTGTAGCAGATTTTGCTCTCTAACAAATTAACCATTGAACCTTTTAGAATGACAAATGACGTGGCAGCACCATGTGAATCGGATTGGGATCTTATCATACTTATATTATTTTATTGAAAAATACATGATTGAAAATAAGTGAGAAAAAATTTATTTTCAAAATAATGGGATCAAACGAGGACTTAATTTATAAATAGATATAAAAATAAATAAACAAAAACGAAGGCTAATTAAAGTCGATGAGAGGTGCCACTTTTCACTTTGTCCAAATATCTTTGCTTCCCATGGAAGAATTCGCCCCAGCCAAACCCACCCCAAAAAGCAAACAAAATATCGTTCCTCGACAAATCGTTTTACGACACGTTGTCAGTATCCATCGGTTGGGTTCCCCTACTCCCGACTGGTAACACTATAGATACAACTATCTACCTCTATATCTTGCCTCCATCGCTCGCCAATTGAGCACCATGGCTTCTCGTTTTGCTCTTAGTTTACTCTTCTCCATACTCGTTGCAACGTCGTTTTGTTCCGCGGTAGCGGGCGGCGATGCCGGCGAAAATGACGATCTTTTGATCCGTCAAGTCGTTGACCAAGGAAATGCTAACGATCATAAATCTTTGACCGACGATCATCATTTCGCGATCTTCAAGAAGAAGTTCGCAAAGGCGTACGCCACCAAGGAGGAGAACGATTACCGGCTCTCAGTGTTCAAGGCTAACATGCGCCGCGCCAGGCGCCACCAGAAGCTCGACCCCTCCGCCGTCCATGGTGTTACTCAGTTTTCGGATCTCACTCCCAAAGAGTTCCGTAGACAGCACCTCGGCGTCAACCGTCGCCTCCGCCTACCCGCCGATGCTAACAAGGCGCCGATCCTTCCTACTAATGATCTTCCTACTGACTTCGATTGGAGAGACCATGGTGCCGTTACGCCAGTCAAAAATCAGGTTAGTTTAGCTTAGTTGCAACTTTTTATGGGAATATCATTTTAGTTATTAGTANCTTAATTTTGAAATATGGGATACTTATCCTCTTACTTATGAATTTTTCCCATTTGTAAAAGTTACGAATGAAATGTCATTAGTTGTATTTATGTAGTGTTGATGTAAATATTAAAAAATTTAATTATGGTACGAATCGACCCGACCCGAACGGTTCCATAATTATATTTGGACCCGACGGTTCCATTTATTAAATACCCGAAAGTTTTAGGTCGGTTCGGATCTCTTCAGAACCGAATCGAACCACGGACAGCCCCTACCAAAAAGTAAATATTACTAATAAAACTTCGATAATTCATATCAATAATTCATTTGTTTTAAACTTTCAAGTCTAAATAAAAATAAAATATAAATTAGAATTGATAAAGATAAAATATTTTAAAGTATTGATAATACTTACCAACTATTTAATGTAATCATCAGTTGCTTGACTTTTCATACTAACTACTAAGAAATTATACAAGAAAAAACTGAAAAAAATACAACTAACATATATAAATAAACTCTAAATTGTTCAACTAATAAGATTTAATAAGAAAAAAATTATTACTTTGTTTAGAAAAAATGAAAGACATTGATTTATCCAATATAAAAAAATCGGTTCTTATTCGGTTCTTGGTTTAAAACTGAAAACTGAACCAAACAATTCGGTTTTCGATTCAGATACCCGTTCGGGTATTTCATTTAAAAAAATTCGCTCGATTTGATTCGGTTCGGTTCCGATTCGATTCGATTCGATTCGATTCGGTTAGGACATTTTGCCCAGCCCTAGAAATTGTACAAGAAAAAATTGAAAAAGATACAATTAACAAACATAAATAAACTTTAAATTGTTCAACTAATAAGATTTAATAAGAAAAAAATTATTACTTTGTTTAGAATAAATAAAAGACATTGATTTATCCAATATATAAAAAAAAATCGATTTTTATTCGATTTTTCCGTTCTAGGCCTAGAACCGAACCAAACTATTTGATTCTCGATTCGGATACCCGTTTGGTATTTCATTTTAAAAAGCCCGCTCGATTCTGTTCGGTTTGGACATTTTGCCCAACACTAATGTATAGTAAAAAATTAAGGAAAATTTTTAAATTTGCATATAATATTATTTGGATTAATCTATGTGTACATAGATTAATCCATAGAGGTTGACATAATGTGAGTGAGGTGGGGTCCACGCTACTATAGCTTAAGTCATTGTTTGATCCCATTATTTTGAAAATAATTTTTTTCTCACTTATTTTCAATCATGTATTTTTCAATAAAATAATATGGGGCATGCTATGCGTACATTTGTATACACATATGAGTTGACCGAATGTGAGTGAAGTACAATTGTATTAAATTGAAATGAAATTGGAAACAAGAAATTGAAAGAACAATTCCAAGCATTCGAGAGGCTGGATCTCTCCCAATTTGACTTAACCAACTACTCAGTATTTTGCATAATTCACTTCTCTCAGATTTTGCTTTCTAACAAACTAACCATTGAACCTTCTAGAATGACAAATGACGTAGCAGCACCATGTGAATCAGATTGGGATCTTATCATTACCCGTCGCCTCAAAATCACCTCAAGGTGGAAGTATGGTTGAACTCCGAAATTCAGAATTGCATATAACCATTTCTTTGGTAAGAGTTCCCACCAAGGCAAATGTTGAAATGAGATATTTCAATTAGTGATGGCAAAAAAACCCACCCCACCCCGACCAGACCCGACCCGACTTTGCCCCACCCCAAATGGGGCAAAAAAACCCGCCTTGACGGGTTAGTTTGGTGGGGTGAGGTGGGGCGGGGAGGGGTGCCCCACCCCGAAGCGCCCCGAACCCGCCTCGTGAAAAA